CTAATCATTAGACATACGGATCCCTTTGTTCATTAGATTTCCAAATCAGTTATGTAAGGACTGGAGCAGCCAGGGTGGTTTCAGCAAAACCCAATCATCTTGTGTTGCTTTGCAAGTGAAAGTCAACACCACCTAGGTTTTCATTTTAGATTCATGGCTTAGAGAAAGCAGTAAGAAAGAGACTTTCTGGCTAATAGATGCTAGCCAACATAGCAAGTGGTATATTGTCTGGGTCAATAGAGAGTTCTGCGTAACTGCTGGAATTCCAGGCTCACTATCAGATGGTGTATGAAACTAGGAAATCCTCTGACTTGACACAGGTGCTCGATGAATCTAAAGGATCGGATAACTAATATTGAGTTGTTGAAGTAAATGCTAGCAAAGAAGGCTTTATACAAAATTTCCCTTTCAAAATGGAGATATTTTTAGGTGAGTATGTTCTTTGTATAAATGCTAGACTTACCAGATTGTTGTCCTACCTTCAGAGAGGTCAAGAAGAATATGAATTTCTAGAGTGGGCAATTTTCTCAGTGAAGGGGAACAGACTTTGTACACAAGCTATCCTCCCCAGTCTGTTTCATTTACAATAGTGGCACAAACTTCCTCTTACTACTTTGAATAAAGAGGGACTAATAGGAAAAGCAGCAGCAGAGCATAATGGTGTTTTTAAGAAATTCCACTTTGCAAGTCACTATAAAATCTGTCTCTTTTTATGCAAGTTTGTTGTTTCCTTACTAAAGTTATTATGACTTAAGGATAAAGATCCTACTACAACCTCATCAAAAAGCCCACATGTGGCAGAAAGATGAGAAATTAAAGTTTTACTATCTGTATTATGGACCTGAAATCTCACTAGCTCTGTTACACATGAATCTGAAGCACCCAGTGATTCACACAGCTTTCTGTTCCCGGTTGTGACCTATATGGATCATTCAGAGGAAGGCAATGTTTCATCAAAGTATCTTGTTGCACGAGTCTAGAATTTGTTCATATGTACAAAGAAATACACATCAACTGGGAATACAAAAATGAAAATATTAACATCTGCAACGGTCAGAAAACAAGCCATTTCTGCTCTAAATACACACAGCATTTCAGAACTTGTTCACTCAGTCCAGGCGAGGTGGGAGTCATTCAAATGCAAAATAGTCTCTGTACATTAAATATCACTCACAATTTTTTTCTCAGGAAATCAAAGTATTAAAAAAACAGGAAGATGTGGTGAGGGAAAGTCTAATATAGGGCTCTCCTTTTCAGAAGAACATAGCACAAATGCTAAACATTAAATGCTTCCTTTTTCCAGGAAGTTTCTTTTGGATGATTATGTCCAAAAGAAACTCAGCAAACTTTTAAGCAAGAAACCAAGTGACCATTTGAACCTAATGTTTAATTATTCTTCTATATAGAAATCAAGGTTGCAAAGTCATCTGTTACAGGGCCCAAAAGGAGGAGGGTAGGAGGGGGGAACCCAACTATGATCATCACTGCCCTCTGCAGTCCTCTTGGAAAACTTAAACAGAATTTAGGGACAAATATAAAAATGAAAGTTTTCTATAAACAGGCCATAATACACAAGCACCAATGAATCTTAAAAGAAAATAATGTATACATTTGGAACAGAATGGAATTTACATTTTCTTGGAGCCTTATCAAAAAAATTTAGGGCAATTTTTTCCCACCCCACATCTTGATTCTAGGGTGATTATTAGGGATGTGTGAAATGGGCTGTATTCGATTCGGATTCAGCTCAAATTGGGGACAGTGATTCGATCTGGCCAAATCCGAATCTGAAGATTCGATGCCGATTCAGAGAATCAACGATTCAGCTATAGACATGGCTTTAAATGTTTTTTCTACATACCTTGAGGTAGCAGGCACGGCTCATGAATGCTGCGATGGTGGGGCAGATGGAGCGTCCCACAGGAGCACAAGGGGCCCCCCACATGCTTGGCAGTGGACCTGGAAGTGGACTGGAAGTAGTTCTGGTCTACTTCCAGGTCTGCCGGGGAGTGTGCTGGGGGGCCCCACCATGCCCCAGCACACTCCCCGGGTGTGCTGGGGCATGGTGGGGCCAATTGCCAAGCTGGGGCCCTCCCCAGCTTGGCAATTGGCCTGAGGGGGACCCCAGGTGCTCCCTCAGACCCAGGGTGCACTGAGCCAGGGGGCGGGTCCCCCATGCACTCTGTGGTGGACCCAGAAGTGGACTGGAAGTTCTTCTGGTCCACTTCTGAGTCCGTTGCTGAGCATGCTGGGGACCCCACACACTCTGTGGGGTGCTCCATCCATCCCAGCATTGCAGCACTCATGAGCCTCACTGGTACCTTGAGGTATGTAGTAAAAACATTTAAAGCTGTGTCTATGTCTGAATCATCAAATCTCTCTGAATCGAATCAGAGGGTTCCAATTCAATTTGGAGAGATTAAAGGGTCTCCTGATTCTAGTCAGATTTGGCCGCCAAATCGAATCAACGACCAAAGCTTTGCACAGCCCTAGTGATTATCAAATTTATAAACAAATCAAACTGATTTCTCATGCACAACTGTTTATAGCTATTATAGAGAATATTGTACCTATTTTGTCTTTAGGTCAAACAGGTTGTTCAGGCCAATATCTATGTACAGATTACTGTCTGCATATGCAAAGTAAGTGCAAAATCACTGCATCACATCCATCAGTCATGCAAAATGCAGCATGTGAACTGGAGTTAATTCTGAAAATGTGGTCCTTAAGATGTTGAGTGTCACGTGTATGTAAGTAATTAGAGGGTAGAAGTCATTAGAACTAAAACAATTCACACCATGTGCTAAAATATCCAGAAAATCTTAATTCAGTATGTGCCTTGAGTAATAAAGAAACAGACTGAGCATAACAAGACCTAGTGAGACATTATGGTAAAAATACCATTGTGTGCATCTATTTGGGAGGAGGGAGGGAATGGAGGATATAATCTGAACAAGACATGGATAAATATGTGCTGTTCCTCCTAATATAGTACTTAAAGTTTTAAGCTTTAACAAGCAGATTTATATCGTCTCATGTGTCTCCATAGAAGTAGGGAAGGCAAAACATATTTAGCGATATCATCTTGCATAAAAGATAAAAAGGAAACATCCTCTGCTGAACGAACAGCAGCCAATTTCCAAATTAGGGCAACATCTCTGGTTTGTTTTCAAAACTTACTAATGATAGATATGACAAGATCCAGAAACTGGCACAATCTTATTCACCCCAGTAGATACTAGGATGCTAATATGTGCAGTCTAGAGAAGTCCTTTCACAGCAGTAAAAACTAGGTATTCCAGAGGTCAAACTCTTACACCTTTAGACTTCTGGAATAAAAGCTTAGTTAGAGCAGTCAGGATCCAGTTTCTAGCAGCTGCCTATAATGCTGGATGCCTGTTCTTACATATGTTAATGATTAGGAACAGACATGTGGAAATGCATTCTCTTTGCACACACAAATATACTCATATGTGCTAGTCAGACTGGAGGATAGCTGGCTCTCTGACTGCTATATCCAGGACGGATTTGTGCTAAATAAAAACCACATCCACTTCTTCAGGAATAATGGTTAGGATATGCAAAAATGAGGATATTGAGAGTAAGACTAGAAATTTGGCCTCTATAGTTTCACTGTGAAGTAGGCTTGGACAACTTTTATAAGCGAACAATATAGAAAATGGGGATCTCGGAGAAAAGAATACAGTATGTACTTCTCATATCAGAGGAAAGAATATAGCACGTGTTTATAATATACAAACTCCAAAGCCACGGGAGACTTTGTTGCGCTACTGAACCTCTCAGAGAACATCTATATTAGTTAAGTGCTTGTTCAGCATTCCATTCTCCACCCTAACAGCTCTATGCTTTGAATCTAGCATTTTCCTTTGGGTTAACACTTGGTAAAAACCACAGCTCAGTGCAGAAGCACATAAAAGATTAAGCTTACCTTACAATAAAAGCCACGAGTGAAGAAACACATATAAAATTCCCTATAAAATAATGGTTTTAGCCTTCCTAGATTTGCTTCAACAGCTGCTGGCTTAGAGAGTGTCAGCAGCTTCATGAAGTTATGCACTGATTGAGGCATTGCTGGATTCTTAGGGATGCTTTTCCTTTGCAAGCAGTTCCCAGATACCAACTTTCGGATTAGACACCCACTTAGCGACATAGTTAATAAATTTTGCACAGCATAATTTAAGACAGGCAGTAACTTGAACACATGGCTTTCTGACCGACAAGTCACTGCATATGCTCAGTCCCCATCCTAAGGTAAGATTCTGATTCTCTTCTCACCCCAGATTCAAAGGGAGCCAAGCTGACTCATAGCCAATGCAATGTTCAGTGTTAGGAGCCAATATGCTCCCATCCCAATCTATTCAGGCTCCACTTGAAAGGTCTCACTGACTCAAAAATGGTAGGCATGACTCAAGAAAATGAGGACAAACTACAACTGGGATGGAATGACAAGACACAAGAGGCTAGACACCGACTTGAGAGCATGCCACTCTTTGGAAATGGTTCCCCAGCTTTCTCTTTGTGCTTATGAATAGTGAGGCCTTCTCCAGAATCTCTACATACCTAAATTGATTTCAGACTAGCTTTCAAGAGGCAAAAGTCACTGAAGCTTGTTACTCACTGCCTATGTTATTCTGTTCAGGGCAGATGTTCTGCTGTTGGAGGCCTGGCTGCCAGATTAGAATGAAGTGGATCAGGCTTGTTGGGCTTTTCTGGTTAAATAAATTATAGCTGATTATCTTTGACTCACCTAGACATTAGTTACAGACACATTGTAGGTTACAGAATTAAACAGAAACATCTACTTGTAAACTCTAGTAACACATCCTATTACAGTTTATACCAGTACAGATCAATTAAACTGGAAACAGGTCATCATGAGAATCTGCACTTGAGTTTTTACCTGGTTTATAACAGTATATAATGTGACTAGATTAGATGTTCTAAAGAAAGAGTATATGAGATCCACAAAAAACACATACTTAACATTAGTGTTGGTGCAAATTATGTATTCAATCTCATCAGAATAAGGATTCTGAAAAGTGAAGCTGCTGGTCCTGATCAACATCCATTCCCGATTTTTGGTACGAAAACGATACATCACAGATAGGACTTGGCCTTTCAGTTTCACCACCTGTAAAAGTATTTGTAAAGGTTACTGACAACAGACTATTATCTGACATACAAGCAAGCACCACAATGAGGTGAGATTGTACAAAAACAAAGACAGAAGAGGAATAAGCACAACCACCCAAAGCCACTCTCTGTTTGCAGTTAGCTCCTTCAGGAGTAAACCAGTATTAAATTATATCTGCTTCCAATTTGAATGCCAGTACAGTATGCACTCAAGGATTTCGCTTTCAGTCCAGCATCAAGGGATTAAAACCCTGGTTTAACATGTAACACATTAACATGTTTTGATAGGAATCAAATTGCACCATCTTTTCCAAGTACAAATATTTTCAAATAAATCACAAGGAAACCCTGTACAGCATGCAGAAACAAATGTCCACAAGATAAAAGATCATTGTATTAGGGTGTCCCGTTATTTGCTTCTTCATTTGGATTCTTAGGTCCCTGACAGACCTTGGATTTAAGATATGATTAACTGGTTAATCACATCTTAAGTAGTGACCTGGCCACACATTCATTCAATTACTGCCATGATAAAACAAGGAATAAGCCACAAAGTTATCATACAAAATATGTGCTGTTGGTTCCTATCACACCTTTAATTGAACATATGGTCAGTGCTCCCAGCCTTCAGAGCACACCAGACCCCTTCAAGGCTCCAGAGGCTGAGAGCACTGGTTAGCTGGGGGTTTCCAGCCAGGGGGTAGAGCCATTGGCTCTGATGAACTCCCACAGCTGGGAACACCCATCCGCTGATCAGGGCACTCAGCCAAAGGCTCCCCTGAGCTCTCCCTACTGCAGGCCCCAATCACTAGGGACTTACTTAATTTGTGGTTTTGTGAATTTTGTGGAAACCACAAAATCTAGGACTGTCTGCAAAATCCACAAAATTACCAAAAAACCCAATAAAGTAGTCCAAAAACCCAAAATAGTAGTCCTCGCTACTAGAAGGGGAAGGCACTGGCTGGCATGAAGGGCAAAGATGCTATGGCAGCTGCCCGCTCATCCCTTCTTGCCCTTTCAGGGCCTCTCCACCAGTCAGTGTCGAGGGGCAGGGCTGCTGTGGAATGCCTGCAAAAATCAGCTCTGCGTGCTTGCCACAATTTAAGTAGGTTCCTACCAATCAGCTGGAGGGCTCCCAGTCAGGGGAGCACACTGGAGCCAAGCTTGCTACTTGCCAGTGCAGGGGGAGCCTCCGATCACGACCTTGGGCTCCCCCTGAACCAGCAACATGGTGCAATGGGATCTGATGCTTGAACACACAATTACCCCTAATGCCATGCACACGTGGTATGGCAGGAAGCACCATCATTGGGATCATGCACCAGATTCCATTGAACTTTTAATTTAACGTCTGTCAGCCTTAGCTACAGATCGTATTTGTGATGCACCAAACAATTTAATAGCAGAAGAAAGCTCCTGAAGTCTTTGGACTCTTACAAAATAGACCTGGTTATCAGGGCTGTGTGAAGCTTCGGTCCCCGATTCAATTTGGCAGAGATTCGGCTCGATTCAGTGTCCGAATCTCCAAAGCTGAATCAATTCAGAGGACCCTTTAATCTCTCCGAATTGAATCAGAAAGATTTGGATAGACAGCTTTAAATGTTTTTGCTACGTACCTTGAGGTAGCAGGTGGCTCGTGAATGCTGTGATGTTGGGGCGCATGGAATGTCCCACAGAAGCGTGGGGGGTCCCCAGCGCGCACGGCAGCAGACCCAGAAGTGGACCAGAAGCACTTAAGCACTTCTGGTCCACTTCTGGGTTTGCTGGAGAGTGCACAGGGGAGGAGGGGGCCCTTCATGCCCCCCTCCTCCCAGCTTGGCAACTGGTGCCTCCTGGGTCTTGGGGGGTGCACCTGGGGTCCCCCCATGGCCACTGACGAGCATGTGGAGGGCCCCCCTCCCCCACGCTCCTGTGGGACGCTCCATCCACCCCAGCATCACAGCATTCACAAGCTGTGCTGGTACCTTGAGGTATGTAGACAAAACATTTAAAGCTGTGTCTATGTCTGAATCGCCGATTCTCTGAATCAGCATTGAATCTTCAGATTTGGATTCGGATGAATCGAATCAGGGACAGTGATCCGAATCAACGAATTGAATTACTGTCCCTGATTTGGGCCAAATCCGGATCTGAATTGTATAGGGCCCACTTCACACACCCTTACTGGCTGTTTGTCACAAAGTGAGACATCTTTTCACTGTTATGCCTGAATATTGTCAGAGGAAGTAAGTCAAAACTCCTGATTCTCCAGGACCTCCGTCTCAATACATTTATAGACATGCCAGTCCTTTAAATGCTCTCCCCTCCATTTCTTCCCGATTAAACTCCTTCATGTGTTATATCATTCTCCTTAGATGTTTCTGAGGGGCAGCAGCTTCTCAAGTAACTGTTCATTACAGCTATGTGCTTTGAAGTCTGTATAGTCAAGACAAATCAGCTCATTTTCTGGGTTGGAAGGTTCTTTGTCCTGTTGATATCCTTCACATGTTGGGGCACAAGAAACAAGACTCGTCTGTAGGTCAACCCTGACCATACAATCTTTCTTCCTCATCTTGAACCTTACCACACAAAGGCAAGGTTCTTCAAAAAGATATTTTCTCTCTCAAAAAGTGACCATGCTCCTCTCCATGTGTAAGGTGGATCCAGATATAAAACATTGAGCCGAGGAAAGAATGCACTTTGGGGACTTTCTGACAAATGGTCACTGGAACTCATTGTCGGTTTTTAAGCAGGGCCGCATACCAAGTTGAGTGAACTTTAGGGCATTTTAGGCCCCTATCTTTTGCTTGTTTTGAGCTGAGGATCTGGCTCTGTACTTCAAAGTAAGGACCTGTTCCTGTATTCACTTTCTTTCAGTTGCTCTTAACTAGTGATGGGAAATGCTTTAAAACATTACTCTTTCCTTGCCTGTGTTCTTATTCTTTTCTTCCTGCCTGAAGGCAGCGAGGCTCTCATTGTAGCATTATTTTCACAAATGAATGGTACTGAGCATGCACAGTTGTGTTGTTTAAGTCTCATAAAATTTACAAAACCTCCAAAATTCAGTCTGGATCTCTGAAGGAATCCCAAGAGGGAGAACCTAAACACTGATATCATGAACAAACACAGAAAGGAAAGTGTTGGCCATGACAACGATGATAACATAAAAAATAAAAAGATCACTCCTCAAATGAGGCGAGACAATGGCTGTGAGGGTCGGGGGGAAGAAACAAATAATTTGGACAAGGAAACAAAGCTCTGTTTAAACCTGTACAAGTTAATACAAAGATGGGAGAAGAGATCTGGAAGAACACTGCTAGCTTTTATCAAGAAAATCCTTCAGCACGAAAGCACAAACTAGGAAAAAAAATAGACAAAGGAAAATGTTAATGGAAGTGGTGAAAATATGAAGCAAGTAAGCAACAAGGAGAAATAAAACAGTGAAGAGGGAAGGTAAAAACTTGGCAAATAGCTGGACAGTACCTGGTCTACCCCTGATTTGCAGACGAATTTTTCATTACTGTAGAAATTCAGAGAGTCATTGAAGAAATGATCGTAGCACTAAGCTCTATATTTAGGGATGCAAAGTCACAATGAGTACACAAGAGAGAACTTCTAGCTGACAGTCACCTGTTTGGGATGTTTATAACTATACTACAACAGGAATGTTTGATAATACAAGGCCAAAATCCTGTCCTTGGTGGCACAAGTTTAACTGAAGTCAGTGAGACTTGTGTGTCAGTATCTAAAGGAAGAATGTAGCGTAAGAGTGGGACTGGGTTCTGCAGTGAATAAAAATGAAATCTTGATGATAAAGAAGATGACAGGACAATATATTATGCCCAAATGAGCAATCAGATCACAAACTCTTAAGACCTCTGGAAAAGGTTAGTTCTGAAACCAAGCATTGTGGCTGGGACCCACCTTGCAATGTGAAATGTGCAGCTGACTTTAAAACAGAAATAAACAACAAATAAGCTTCAAGGAACCTTTTCTCTTGCTGCCATACGGTGTTCACATTGATCTTGCCATTATCTGATGATCTGGATCTGATTCAGATGAAAAGTTTTATGGCTAGAAGTCTGGTCAAGTCATTCAGCTGAAAACAACTGGCTGCATGCACTTTTTCCCCTATAGCTTTCCACTGGATTAGGTCAGCAAATTACTTTGGGAGTAAAAGAGGAGATTTTATGCACATAAGTACAGCATCCGATTGATCCATTAGGACTTGTTTTTATTAGCCGTCTGCAGTCAGACTTTTCTGAAAGGAGTCATTCTAGCAAAAACTTGGTGCTTGCCGTATGCAGCTGGGTTTGTGAATGGCTCTAACCCAATTTGTTTTAAGTGTAATATCACAAATTGACCAGCATGGTTACAAAGATACCATATGAAGAAAACACAAAAAGCTTGAGTTAGCACCTGGTAGCTTTCATCAGGACAGCAAGAGTAAATGTTTCATGTAAAATAAACGCTTTTGTTTCAGCTCCATAAACCATATCCTTTTATCAACATTTCTTTGCCACCACACCCCGTGTAAAGAATACAGAACTTTTGTCAGTGTCCATCTGAACAGTATCCTAGTGGATATTAGATAGCTGTCTTCTGGAACCTTTGATATTGAACCCTATTTGTTGTTCTTGGCCTTGAGAACATGTCGTTCTGGCTTGATTTTCCCACCCCGATGAATGAATTTATCTTCTCAAGGAAGTAAAGACTCTGAGATGGATCCTGGCAATCAACCAACAGCGGCAAATCCCTCCCTCTGTTATACACCAACCTGATTCTGACAGAGTCAGCAATTTTAAAATGTCAACTTTTCAGGGGGCTAAAAAGAAAAGGTCACTGGAAATAACAGTTACCATTTTAATAAAAAAAATTTAAGGCCAAAGTACCCATTACAAAACAAACTGTAGTGATCTAATGCACTGAAAACCAAATTAAGCAAACATTGGCTTTAAAACAATACATGAAGCAGGGGTGTGTTTGGTGGGAAAAACCTGAACTGATGTAAAACAGTGAACACAAACAGGGCAACAAAACGACTGAAAAGGCTCATGTTCTAATTTCTCTTTTCAATATTCTTTGGAAATACAAACTGTCTAGTGCTCGGCTAAATTGTTTAGCTCAGTCTCTTATTCTTTGACTGAAGTAGCCACTTTGATCACATTGCTACTGTATTAAAAACAAACAAAGGAGGAATTACTGACTAAAGACACAGAAAAAATGGTTTAGTGCATTGAACATGGGACCAGGAGCCTGAAAAGCCTCACTTTAATTTCTGCCTCATTAACTGGCTTTCCATGTGACCTTGAACTGTCAGTTAGGCTAGGGACAGAAGTTATACATAAACCGGTTTAAGTGATCTGAAACAGGTTTAAACTTGTAACAGAATAGAAGCTCAGTGCACATAAACCAGTTTCAAAAAGTCTGAAACTGGTTTAAAATAAACCTGGATGAATGTAGTATCAGACTTAACTGACTTGGGTCAAACCAGTTTATGAAACTTCTGTCCCAGACCACTTCCTGGTTTAAGTTAAATCACAGTCCCCCAGCATCACAGCATGCTTTCCATGTCTGCTCCAGAGAGAAGAGCTGGCCCTGCACCTCTACTCCCTAGAGCTGGAGCAGTGAAGCCTGGCTGGTCAGGGGGGGATTCAGTCTGCAGTGGGGGTGGGGGGAGGGACTGCCCCCCCCAGACAAACCCCAGCTGGGGTCTGCGGCCAGGGAAGGGGTTAAACACCCCTTCCCCCACTCAAACTTACTACTGGCTGTGACTATGAACTACAAATCTCAGTGGCACCTGGAAGCAGGAAGAGGAAGTGATTAGCAACCCTGCAGAGTCCTGCTGCTGTGATTGTGGAATGCAAATCCCAGAGGCCTCAGGGCCAGCAGGAAGAGGAAGTGAACACACAGCCAGAGAGCCGTGCTCTAACGCCCCCCAGCTTCTGGTCTGAGCCACTGCAGGCATGTGGCTACATTTCCTGAATCAAAGGTAAAAGTCTGTTCACTTCTGTTTCAATTTAATCCGTGCAGTTTAAACTAACCTGCAAAGACTGAACTGATTTAACCTTGGGCTTTTTGAATTGCTGTACCTAAAGACTTGAATCAGCAAAACACTTAAAATGCATGCCTAAATGTAAAGTACACAAGTGTTCCAAGGAATCCATGGCGAAGTTTCCATTGGCATCTGTGATGCAGCACTGGGCCCTTTGCAGCCTCATCTAGCTCCCAATGAAATCAGCTGGACTCTACCCATGAACTTCAGTGGCTTTGAGTTGGTAAGTGGCTATACATGTGCTCAGCTTTATTACTGGATAAAGTAAGATGTTTTACATCTTAAAAGAGACCTCAACATTCAACACAAGACATAACAACAAAGAAAAACGGGAACATGATTTAGACTTCAAACCTGGAGAAATATAGTATGCCATGCTGCTAAATATGGAAAGAAAGTCAGCTAAGAAGAATGGTAACAACAGGACTGCTAGGCAAAAATATTCCTACTGTAAGTCCCAGTCTAATTTGAAACAATAAGTTTTACAATGACTTAAATTCTTTTAATATATCTGAGGTAATTGTGGCCCATTGCTAAACTGAATCCAATCTGATAATCACTTCCATATGTTTTCACTGTTTTTACTTTTTTCCCTACTTAATTCTATATTTCAGTTCTTTAACGGACCTTACAAAGATGTACAGATATCAAATTCTCTCTTGGCATAAACTGGCACAGCTCCATTAAATTTATGCCAATTTACAGCAGCAGAGAATTCATACCAGGGAATACAGGACGGGTGGAATTTCCAAAATCACTCAGCACCAGCCTCCACTTGTTTCCACTGACTTTAATGAAAATGTAGCGCGGCCAACGGTGAGTGTGTCTGAACATTCCACTCTCTGTATCTGTGCATCCCCCACATACATATTTTTGATTTGCTAGGTTAGTACTTTTCTCTTTAAAATATCTGGTTTTACAAACATGAAAACGGAGCTAGTTTCAACTCAACAACCCACATTCATGGAACGTAAGCACCTGTGGCTTCTATTGAATGTAGTGCTCCATGCTGGCATACCTGGAAGCAAAATGACCCTAAATGAGAACTGAGTATTTATTTAGCATATAACAACAAAGGGAAAAAAATAAATGTAGTGACTTTTCTGAAAATTCAGCAAACTGAAGGTTTGTTTGTACTGTAGCTTAATTGTAATTGCTAGGAATTGCCCCCATCTTTCCTGGATTTCAGAGCAAACACTTGAAAATGAGAAATTAATACTAGATTCTACTATAATAAAGAAATGGAAAATCTGTAGTCCAGTACCTGCTGGAAACTCTCTCTCAAATGGCTTTGATCTTCCGGATGGCAGAATTCTAGTATGTCTTTCCCCAGAAGATCCTAACAGAACACAATGGAACACTGTAAACACACAAACCTACAGACTCACCCTATAAGCCTTTAGTTCATGCAAGTAATTGCATTACCTCCAGAAGAGGTATAACAGGGCAGCTCTGTGCCGTAGGCGGCAGTAGCACATGGGACAGCCAGCAGCAGTAGCAGCTGCTATTTTTGTGCCCCACCTCCCTAATTCTTAGTTATACTACTGACCTCCAATCACGTAAGTAACTATGATTAACATGAAGAAGAATTAGTAGGGGTTGTGTCCTGCACTGCATTTACATTATGGCAAAGAAATGCATAAAGTTATTTTATGTGCATTTTAATGATTGTGAACGGTGTCAGAATAACAGGACTGAGGAGAATGGATATCCCCTCTTAATCCATTTTAGTTCATGTTATTATATGGTTGTGCTTGAAGAACCTACAGTAAAACCTACCTGAAGTTGGTACGAAAGGGAAAGTAAAATGAGCAAGCAAGGACAAGTTGTCTCCCTATGAAATATAGTCATTTAGATAGGGACACTGTAGTTCTCTTTGGGATTAAAAGATAAAATGCTGTTATCTGCAAGAGAGTTGTCACAGTTAGAAGCTCATTTACGCATTATACTAACCTAACCTTTATTCAAAGAAGTAGGCATAAGCCTAAAGGAAAACGTGCTTCAGAAATCCAGTCTGCTTATCATTCAATAAGTTGTTATACATGTTGAAAATCTACAAAATAACAGTGACTCAAAAGCAAAAATTATACTGCTTTTGAAGGAAAATCTTAATTTGAAAACATTCAGATTAGCTCAGAAGGGGGCAGTGGGGGCAGGAAGACAAAAGAGCCAAAAAGAGTATAGTGGTATCCTTTTTAATAACAACCTCTTAATTGTAAAGATGTGTGAACAGTATGGAGAAAAAGGTGAAGTTTCAAATAACAGCACATTGAGGAACAGTGCAACAGACTATTGCATCTGAATGAAAATGCTGTATCTTCTGAAAGTTACTTCATACTGTAGTTGCAAACAGAATCTCATCAATTAGTTCTAACACACCTCTCGATTTAAAAACATGAACTGACCTGAGGCTGGTAGCCAATCACACTAATGCATCTTGGATCAACAAACGTGATTATTCCATCAGAGTTGTGTCTGGACAAAAACTCCGTAGGGACGGACATTCCATTCATATCCATGCACACCGGAGAGCTAGTTACCTGAGATGGAAGAATCAGACAAATGCAATTTGGAAAAGAAACAGTCATTGGAAATACAGGCTGCTTTTAAAGTTAAGATGACAAAGTTTGTCTGCTTACTGTCAGCTTTTTAAAGGGGTCATAAAGAGAGTAGGACATATATAAAATGATGTTGAATGGTTTTGGTCTAGTCTTCAGCACAAAAACATCAGACCACTGCACACTGTTTGGACACAGAGTATAACATGAAAATACACCAACCACATTTACTAGATTCCAAGACAAGGTTTCTTCCCTGCTCAACATGAGGAAAGCAAAGCCTTGTCTTAGAACTGAGTATCAGAGTGCTCCAGCTGGGAGCGGCTGTGCTGGGTGTCACCTTGGCCAGGGACAGGATCAAAGGTATGCAGGTTTCTCCTTCCAGCGTCTGTTCTCTGCCTGGCTCCTCCCTTCCCTTCCCCCCCCCC